GTGACAACTGAGCGAAAGGGATTTAAAAATTCGTAGTGAAATAATCCTCCTGTGGGCACCGCAGTTTACTCTAAATGATTCGTCTGAGTTAGGCTAAGCACGAGACACTCTCCTGGGAATGTACAAGGGTAGGAGGTGCCAGGACACAGACCTAATGCTGAATTGGCCCAGTGAGCTTGAAGAGGAGTAACCTTATTTTCCATGGTTGTGGGAGACACCCCCCTCCTGCCCCACATCATACCTGCCGGCCATAAACAAGCATTGTAAAGCTCAGGCAGCAGCTAGGAGCCATGTGAGGATGATGAAAGGAATCCACCCCTTCAGGATGAAGCTGAAATTAAGCATGAAGGGAACCGCATGAGAGAGCTGGAATCGACCAGGCACACGCCCAACCTCGCACTTGTGGTGAGGAGTCCCAGCAAGGACTCTGCTACTTGTAGCCAAAAGCATCCTGGAAATATTCCGGATCATACCATTGGAGAGCCACGGGAACTAGCCACATGAACGTATCCGAAATGTAGAAAGAAAAAGCAAAGTGTTTAAATGATGATTCTGAGCAGAGCTCCAAACCAGCAACCTTTACTGTCCCTTCAGGAGTCCACTCACTCCGATCGTGAAGTCTTCTCTCTCCACGCAGTTGCTACGTTATAGCACTCGGGTTGTCGTTTCCGTGGCCCCATCACACGGGACATTGTGCATGTGAAAGCATTAAGTAAAAGCTAATTATAAACCCAAGCTAGCTCCCATGTGTCCATGCCTCATCCCCCAAGTAGACATAGAAACTTCTTAGAAACTTTTAACGTCTGCTCCAGCAGCTGCTACGATCCCACTTGCTATGTGAGTGTGACACCAGGGTGAATACTTGGCACCAAGTGCTGTCAGCTTCTCTTCAGAACAAGGGCGCACACAAGCATGAAGCATTTACCGCTTATACAAATGGCATGGCATTTAGTGTTTCTGTTAAAGGGGGAAGGAATGACTAATATGCATCGCTTTAATATGCTGTATGTTTAAGAAATTACGTAATTTTCAAAATTTTGCCTGAAGTTACGAGGAATACGTGGCTTTGGAAATAATTTTTGGTACTCTTTTACGTGCGGGAAACATAACCTGTTTTAAATCTGGATACCTTTGTGATCCTGAGGACACCGTGAGCTACATTTTAGATTAGGAAGCACAGGAGCCTAATCATAACCTTTATTTTTCTCTAGCAAGACTTGCTCATGAAGTAAACCAAATGTCACCCTGCCGTGTTTCTAGTTTTCAACAGGTCAAAGACTGCTACCTGCCTTGTCCCTATAGAGATTTTAAATACTATGAGCTTGCTTAGAGCAAGCACCCCAGTGCCTGCTAATCCTTCCAATTAACCCAAATCAGGAGGAGCCCCTGCTAGTCCACTGGCAGGCAGCTGCTCCTTGGGAGAGGGGAGCGGAGGGCGGCCCACTCCGTAGACTTAATAACTTCTTTTACGGCCAGCCGCCCCCTCGGACCATCCTTTCCTTGTTGGTGATGAGCTGATGGCTGACATTCAGGGAGCATGTCCCACTGCGGGCTCTGTTCTAAGTGCTCTCAGGTGTCATCTTGCAGTACCTGGAAACTCTCACAGGTGGGCGCTATGGTCTGGACCTGTGCCCCCCCCACCCCAAATCCGTATGTTGATGGTACTAGGAGGCGGGGCCTTTGAGAGGTGCTTAGGTCATGAGGGTGGAGCCTCAGGATGAGATTAGCGTCTGTATAAAGGAGACCGCGGCGTGCCCCCTCGCCCCTTCTTGGGAGGAGGACCCTGGAGGAGAGGGCCTCCAGTGAACCTCCTCACCCGGCACTGAAGCCTCGCTGCCTTGACCTTGGACCTCCCGTCTCCAGAACTGTGACCCGTGCACTTCTGTTGTTTTGTAAGTTGTGCAGCCAGTGGCATTTTCTAATAGCAGCCTCAACAGACGAAAACAGTTTTATTACTCTTTTTAAGGCTGACAAAGTTGGGACCCAGAGATCACACAGCAAGTGAAGGCTCGAGCTGGACTCTAACTCACGTTCTTTTTTTAATTGAGGTATAATTGACCTACATTAGTTTCAGGAGTATAATGTAATGATTTGATATTTGCATATATTGGGAAATGAATAGTTACAGAATTTTTTTTGATGAGAACTTTTTTTATTTTTTAAAGATTTATTTGAGAGAGAGAATGATAGAGCATGAGAGGGGGGAGGGTCAGAGGGAGAAGACTCCCTGCTGAGCAGGGAGCCCGATGCGGGACTCGATCCTGGGACTCCAGGATCATGACCTGAGCCGAAGGCAGTCGCTTAACCAACTGAGCCACCCAGGAGCCCTTGATGAGAACTTTTTAGATCCACTCTCTTAGCAACTTTCAAATATGCATTACGTGACATCCTTATGACTTCTTTTATAACTGAGACTCGTACCTCTCAACCCCCTTCACAAATTTCACCCCCCACCCCCGCCACGTTTGGCAGTGATTAATCTATCCTTTGTACCTATGAGCTCGGTTTTTTGTTTTTTTTTTAGATTCCACATGTAAGTGAGATCATATGCCATTTGTCTTTCTCTGTCTTATTTCACTTAGCATAAAGCCCTCAGGGTCCATCCGTGTTGTCACGAATGGCAAGATTTCCTTCTTTTTTACGGCTGAGCGATAGTCTACTGTATATATTTTCTTCATTTATTCATCTGTTGGTGGACACTTAGGTTGTTTCCATGTCTTGGCTATTGCAAATAATGCAGTGAACATGGGGGCACATGTACCTTTTGGAGGACGTGCATTGTTTTGTCACCGCACGTGGCCTTAAGCCTATGAAGACACACATGGTCCATAGTACAAGTCCCATAGTCACTGTAGAGGGGAGACATGAGGTGTGCATCTCTTCACTTTAGCTAGGAAGGAGTAACTCTGGTAGAGGATGAACTCAAATCGGTAACTATACATCCAATATATATTAAAAAATACTGAAGTGAACTTGCACCCCCTAGACTACCACAGGCTGTTTTTAAATTAGGATTCTTGGACTTACCACCATTTCATTTACAGACTGTCCCTCAAAAGACTGAGTACCTCGCTGGTCAGGGCTGCCCTTTTTGCATTTCCTATTCCCGGGGCGATGCAGAGGGCACAGCTCCCTAGACACAGGGAACTGCTAGGAATGCTCCAGTTTCATATACAAGCCCAGTTCCAACCCCACCCTGTTCACTAATACTTGGCCTTAGGACAGGAGTTTGTTCTGATTCTGAACAGGGCTAACACTGTAGAGAGAAGACTTAGCCTAAAACTCCGGAGAACATCCACAATGAATTTCAAGTTCTAAATGAAGCCCCCTCTCAGAGGAGGGGAGTATTGACCCCTGGACACGAATGAGCAAGTACGATCTAGCCCCAAAAGAGCTCTGAAACCCAGTAGGCTGTTGTCTTTTCCAGGAGTGGTGGAAGGTGGAATGGCGTTGACCTCGTCCTCAGCTCTGCTTGACGGTTTACTACAGGGGTGGTTTTTCTCAAGAACTAGTACAGCTCTTCGGGGGGGGGAGGGGGAGCCCCTGCCTAGGGCTCAATTTTCAGTTTCCAGTTACACCACTTTGTTTCCCATAATGATGCCTTATCCTACACTTACTCAGTAGCACTGAGGACCAAAAAAAATACACCAACAGTAATTCTTTTTCTCAGTAGCTTAAAACGTGATTAACAGAGGGGAAAACGGCCGCTAGCAGGGAGACTACAGCATGACTTCTGGGAAGGTTCTCTCTGCAGAAATAATTGCGACATGGGAAGTGACTCTGAAAATCCAAACCTGGGAACTATCAATCAGCTTTATTTTATTTTAAAATATACAAATATTTTGACATGTACAAGATTTTCAAGTTGTTCGATTTTGAAAACACCACACAAAACCAACACAACAAAAAAATCGTTATCAAATGAATCACTCGACTGCCAGTTCCTTCGACTAACTTAACGCGACTCCAGGGAAATCAGAAGAATATTATCAACACTTAAGAAAACCCCCGAGTCATTTGTAACATGCTGTAGGTAGAACAACCAGTTTATGAATCACTGGTAGAAAGAATTTCAACGGCAAACTTTGAGCTCCCTGAAAAAAATCTGCAGCGAGACAGTGGGTTGATGAAACATTCTGTATCTGGAGAAAAATACTCTTCTTGTAAATCCTAACGCTCAACAACATAGAATCGTGTTTCCGAGAGGGACCGTCCTGGTGCTGCGATTAGCGCCAAGCCTTCAAGGTTCTGGTGAGGCCGGCTGGAGGGAGGGCTTCAGGCAGGAGGAGCAGGGCTCAGAGGTGGCATAAACTGTCAGATGCCACAGGCAATGAGACGTGCTCGCTGGGAGCAGAGGTACGGAGCAGGATAGTGGTAGTTAAAATGAGAATCTTTTAAAAAGTGAAAACATAGATTCCAATGCACGTGCATCATCAAACCATGGGGGAGTTGAAACTATTCTAGAACAAGGTCCAGCCTGAAAAATTCTCACAATTGAGAATCTGGAGCCAAGATGCGCTTTCGATTTGCTGAGTGCATTGCCAGTGGATAGCTCTGCGTTTTCTTAAGGGCGCGCTGCTCTTGTAGGGACAGCGAGATGCTGGTAGCTTTTTCAAAAGCAGAACTACTTATTTGTAATAAATAGTATTAGTTCAAATATCTGGCCAGCTAAAAGCTCCTCAGCAGAACATGGGCTTTCAGATCTACGTCTCAAGTATTCCTGAGAAAGAGTAAGGAGAAAAGCAGCTCTCTTCACATGACAAGAAACCTTCTTTTTCAGACGCTGCTCACTCTTCTAGATTAAATACATAGGCAATACTGCAGCTGAAGGAAAAACCAAGGGAGCGCTTCCCACTTAGGGCAAGTGGGAAGGAAACCTCCAACTACCTGCTATAGACTGCACGAGGTAAAAACCAAAGAACGCGGCACAGGGCACCCTTACTACGGGACGTGAAAGGCGTCCTCACCTACTTGCCATTCCCATTACAACATGAGAGCAATTCAGTTTGGGGAAAATAGTTTAATGTATTGCTTGGGAAAAAAAATAGTTTCTATTTTCCCATCTCTAACAAAGCAGCGGTTAGGAAGTCCAGCGCCACCACGCGACCTTCATTCTGTCCCACACCGCCGAGAGCGAATCCAAGGCGGGCCGGACGTCCAGGATGGTGAACTGGTAGTCCCGGCTGACCTCCCCGCCGTCGTAGTAGTCGATGACGTACCTGACCTCCGTCCCACAACGGTCGATGATCCAGTCGTGCCTGTCGAAAGGCAACTCGTAGCTGAAATGAAAACATGTTTGCGAGCATGAAAACGCCTGCTCTCAGGGTCGAAGGTCTAACCAGGACGTGAGGCTCGAAGCACCCGTCTACTGTGTTGAAGACAGTGCCGCAGAGCCGTGATGAGCCCACATCAGACGACGGCTCATTTGCCCGCAAGGCAACATGGTCCACAGGAAAGGGACCAGGCCAGGGAGGTCGGCTGAGATACCGCAGAGCTCCCAGGGCGACCTAAGAATCGGTCTAGGCTGGCAGAAAAGAAGGGGATGCTGACTGCCCAGATGCAGAGAGACCACGGGAGGAGAAGTGGACAGTTCCGAAAACACAGAAGACAACTCAGCTCAGGGCTACGATAATCAGGGAACGACGCACAAAACCTGAAGAAGTCTGCCCACCAACAGGCAAACTTGAGGGAGAGGGAGAGATCTCCAGCTGAATCCTGATAACATTTTGGAAGATGGCACTGCAGTTCTGAGTGCTTGGCTTGGGTGCCAAGGGAAAGCGGACCCTGACCTGAGGAACGTACGATAACATTTCTGCACTGCCACTCACCCCATCCAGGAACGAATTCTTGCCCTTGGTGAATACTCTTTCGCTTTACCTCCGAACCGGATCAATGATGGACCACAAGGACACTCCCTAGAAATTTCCAAACAAGAAAAGCCTATTAAAATATTTTCCCTCCGTTGAGAAATGTGATGTTGCAGTTTCTCAACACACATTTTTCTGTATGCATTTTACATAATTTCATGTTTACAGAGTGAGAGAACTTTCAAAACAATTCAAAGAAATATCCCTATTTGATAAAAATATTGCTCTGTATTTCTGGTTCAAGGACGCTGCACCACCTCCACTACATTCCGAATACCGCAATCTTGCCAGGAGTCAGGAAGGGGACTCTCCACTTGCTGGGGGCGGGTACAGGTATATTCTCAGGGGAAAAAAAAAAGAAATGTTAAGAAGTATTGGGCATTACACTCGACTTTCACACCCGGCAGCAGGGTTTTTCTTTTTTTTTAAACAAATAAAAGAAAATCCTCCACTCTTCTTCCATTTGAAACCAATGAACAAGCCTTTTTGAAGAAAAATGCTGGAAGAATCCCTAAGAACAAATGAAATTAGTACTGGACCAGTTCCTTAGGTTAAGTAAATACGGGAGGCCCCCTATCTTGTTAGCTGCTGTCACTGTTAGGAGGGGCCTCAGCCTTGCTGGGCCTAACGATGTGGGAGGGAGAGAACAAGCCCCCGTGTGACCGAGCCCTACGTGAGGCCCCTCGGCCTTACTTTACTTCCTGCTTTATCGACTACTCACTAGCAGCTCTTCTCAAGAGGGTCACTGGCAAAGAAGTATACTCAACCCAGGCAGGCTTTCCCCTGGAGGCTGTAGCAGGTGTCTTTAAAAGGCCGACCTAATTTTGAGGGACCCTGGAAAATGACTAGAAGGGGGGCTGAAACCAACAAAGTGGAATCTCCTTGTGTGTCTTCTCTCTGCTCCAACGTCCCGCTACATGTAGTTAGCAGGTGGTTTTCGCTCCAGCACACGTTCAGACACTTGTGGCTCACTTCACTAGCGAGCTGGGAAGGGGACAGAGCTGAGTCCTGCTGGCCTTGGGTTACTGAGAAGGGAATCCTGGTTGCTGAGCCATTCCCTCCTCACACGGACCCCTCCCAGGCCTGGTGCCCGCCTAGGACACCCAGGGAGTGCTACTAATGAACCTCAGAGCCCAAATACTAAAAAAAAAAAAAAAAAACCCAGAACATCTTAACAAAATCATTCAGTGGACTTTAGCCAAGAAGTTAATCACTTTTATTATGAATTTATTTTTATTTTTTTTAAAGACTTCATTTATTTGAGACCAAGGAAGCAAAGAAGCAGGGGGAGGAGAAGACTCCCTGCAGGGAGAGGAGCAGAGGGAGAGGGAGAAGCAGACTCCCCGCTGAGCTGGGAGCCCGATGTGGGGCTGGATCCTGGGACTCCAGGATCATGACCTGAGCCTAAGGCAGACGCTTAACCAACTGAGCCACCCCAGGCGATCCTATCATGAATTTAAAATGGAATCCGCCCGTGATGATACAATCTGGCTTTTTGCGCTGACATTCCCCACCCCTACCCTTCTCAAGGTGGACTCCTCAAACCAGTAGCATCTGTGTTGTTCTGGAAATGCCCAAGTCTGGGCCTCACCCCAGATCTACCGATTCAGAAACCCTGGGGGTGGGGGCCCAGCACTCAGTGTTTTAGTAAACCCGTACGCAATGCCGACGCAGCTCAAGTATGAGGACCACTGCTCGAGCTGACTGATGGTCCATCACTGCCAACACACTCGACTGCAGTCACCTATTCTCTCCGAGAAAAAGGCCCACGTGCTAAGACAACCCTCGATGTTTAGTCCTAATGGGGATTCAATGCTGCTAAGGGAACAGAACCACTTTTCTCATCAGCTTTGGGGCAGAGAGCACTGTACCATTTCCCATCCCACATGCTGTGCCTTCAATGGAAAGCGGCATTCCTCCCACTGAGAGGTGGGGTCTGCAGCCCCTCCCCTTGAACCTGGGCAGACTTGTGGGACAGCTGAGGCCAGGTCATCAAGGGAGATGCAGCTTCCCTGGAGCCTTCTGGAATTCTAGCTCTGGGAACCCAGCCACCACAGCAGCCACAATGAGAGGTTGTAGGGAGGTGTCCTGGCTGACAGCCGGCATCAATCACCAGATGAGTAAATGGCCCAGCCTTCAGAGAATTCCAGCCCACGGCTGTCAAGCCACCCCTGATCAGAACCTGGCCGAGGCCCTAGACGCTGGGAGCAGAGACGAGCCATCCCTGCTCTGCCCTCTCTGCACTTGGGACCCACCGAATCCATAAGCGTAACAAAATGCTTGCCATTTCACACAGCTGCGTGGGAGTGGTCTATCACTTAGTCACTGACGCAGGCCCGCCACCTAAAATGTTGTATTATATAACACGTTGTTGGAATAAAAGGTTCAAACTCTAGAAAGCAGGGATAAAATAAGAAAGATGCTGGAAGGATGGCTGTTTAAGATCTCAGACATACTTACGCAGCATGAAGGGCTTCCCACTTCAAAATCTCCTTCCAGGCTTGCTCGTTGTTCTGATTGTGAATCCTGATGATATTATACATGTCTCTCTGACTAATATCATCATCCTTCCACTTCCACCTAGGAAAGAACGTCCGCTAAAACACGATAAAACTTAGGATTCTGCGCTATCAATCCACATATCCATTTCACCTAGTGACCAAGAACCACTTACACACATATCAAAGGATCATAAGGTGACACTTTTTCAGTCAGTACCACTGATTAATGACTCCCCAACTTTAAGTATTTTCCATAATAGTATTTTTTAAAAACTAATGGCGATGATGGGTTAACCTTATGTGTCAACTTGACTAGGCCATGTGGGGCGGGGCCAGATATTTGGGCAAACACTATTCTGGGTGTGTCTGTGAGAGTGTTTTGGATGAGAATAACATTTAAATGGGTAAAACAGAGTGCTCTCCCTAACGTGGGTGGGCCTCATCTGATCAGTTGAAGGTCTAAATAAAAAAGGAATGAGCCTCCTGCAAATAAAAGGGAACTCTTCCTGCCTGATTGCCTTTGAACTGGGACACTGGTTTTTTCCTGCCTTTGGACTGGAATGAAAACATCAGTTCTTCCTGGGTCTCCAGCCTGCAGACCATGGGACTTCTCAGCTTCCATAATCACGTGAGTCAATTCCTTATAATAAATCTATATGTATAAAAACACATCCCGTTAGTTCTGTTTCTCTGGAGAATCCCGACTAATACACTGGCCTTGCATTTAAATTCTTTTAAGTCTGAAAAATCAGTTGAATATTATATACTGATTAGCTTACAAAAACTTTATGTTTGGGGATGAAAACCTCTTTAACATTTAATTCTTAAATGAATTTGATGAGCAAATTTATACTCTCAGTAATATGCTCACTCACCCTTTCCGTAACATTGCATTCCAAAACATCTGCTCGGAAGGATAAACCCACTTTTTCTCCGAATCTGCTCTCGGAATGGATGACTCCTCTCTCACAGTAGACAGTGCAAACGGCTGATCGGGGGCCGGCATCTGATTAGGTGGTGGCATCTAGGTAAATTAAGCAGATTTTTTTAAATGTTGGAAATAGGACATAAAGTAGAAACAAACAATAATAATCAATGACTTTCTGGAAAGCAATGCATCACACACAAGGTACAGGTTCCCTATTATGCCAGTGATGGCAAAAGTTCAGCTCTCCCAGATAATTTGGCTGTTCTGAAGAGTCAGAGTTCCAAAGTTTTTCCTTCTTGAAGTTCTCACAAATGGTAAATACACACTGCGGTTAACATTCTTTGTCTCTTTCTCCCCAAGGATTAAGAAGTAAAAACTAGTATCACGACCATAGACGTTTCTAAAAACCTTTCTATGACGAACTTTTCAAAAATGACTGTTCACTCTTCTGAGGAAAAATCTCATAAAATATAGGTATACCACCACTTTCTTTTAAAATATTCTTGGGGCACCTGGGTGGCTCAGTCGTTAAGTGTCTGCCTTCGGCTCAGGTCATGGTCCCAGGGTCCTGGGATCGAGCCCCATATCCGGCTCCCTGCTCGGCGGGAAGCCTGCTTCTCCCTCTCCCACTCCCCCTGCTTGTGTCCCCTCTCTTGCTGTGTCTCTTTCCATCAAATAAATAAATAAAATCTTAAAAAAAAATATTCTTTTAGGATCTTGCCGATGCTTTCGGTCTCCGGACCAAATACATTAATAGAGCAGCGACACCACAAGGCTCCTTCCTCGCAGACACAAGGGGCAGCAACACTGTCGTGCAAACGCCTTCCCTGGACCAGCGTTCTCACACCAGGCACCGCTGCCATTTGGGGCTGGATGACTTATGGTGATGGGGGTCTGTTCTGAGCACTGTAGGATTTTTAGCAACCTCCCTGGTCTCTACCCAACAGTACCCCTCCCAAGTTGCGACAACCAACGTCCTCCCAGGGGCAAAATCACACCTGGTTGAGAACCCCTGGCCTAGAACTTCTTTTGTGTTGCAAGTATGAAGGATCTTCTAGCAGATGCACATTTATCACTAAGTCACGATACGGCCCCCCCGGCCAGAATGACGGTAGCGGGAGAACCGGGTATGCCAGGCACCACACTGAGCATTTTCCCTGCATCGTCACCACAGGGGGTTGAAGGACACATGTCAGAGGCAGCTGGGATTCAGTTTGGGACCTGCTGCTTCCTAGCTGAGTGACATGGGGCAAACTGCATGCTCGCCCGTTCTCGGTGGCTTCAGCTCTAAAGATGGGGACGAGGGTTACTGGAGGGTGTGTATGGTGCTTAGCACAAGGGCTACAGATATCACCAGAAGAAATGCTGGCTGTTATTAATATTCTTCCTACAGGTAACAATCCCATGGGTAAGAGTCTAGGTCTGTGGGGTTCCAAAAGGCCCACGTTCTGACCCACTAGACTATTAGAGATTATCTAGAACAGTAGTCTTACGGGGGCACTTTTAGAAATATCTGGAGACACATTAGGTTGTCGTGACTGAGAAGAAGAGGCTGCTCCTGGCATCTGGCAGGTGAAGACCAGGGATGCTGCTAATATCCTACAAAGCACAGGACAGTGCCCTACTGCAAGGAACTGTCTGGCCTCAAACATCAACGGCGCTGCCCTGATCTTGTCCACCTTCTTCCTCGACACACCAGTTTCGTTATAGCTTGGCAGGGTCATTACTGAGTGTTGAGGCTGAATGTTTGTGTCCCTCCAAATTTACTGAATCTGCCAGCACCTTCCAATAGGACTTCTCAGCCTCTGGAACTTTGAGAAAGAAATGTGTGTTGTTTACAAACCACCCAGTTGATGGTACTGTTATAAATGTTATGTTATATGACATACACACACACCCCTTTGCTTCCAGACTACAAACCACCCAGTTGATGGTACTGTTATAAATGTTATGTTACACACACACACACACACACACACACCCCTTCGCTTCCAGACTACAAACCACCCAGTTGATGGTACTGTTATAAATGTTATGTTATATCACACACACACACACACACACACACACACACACACACACACACACACACACACACACACCCCTTCGCTTCCAGACTAAATATTTCTAGTTCCTTCAAATGTTAGGCAATATTTCTAAATACTTCTGATAACCCTGGCCTTCTAAGAAGCCTATTCTGGCCTTCCAGAGTACAGATCTGAGTCTGTCTGGCTCTCCATTAAAATGTGATTTCAAACAAGAAACCTCCATTTCCTACACTATCACAGAATGCGGTGAGGCCATGCTTGTCTTGTCCTTGCTTTCTCAGGGGCATCCCACTGGTGGCCGCCACATGACGCTGTACCACACCAGCAACTCTCACACAGGCTGGTACCCGGCTGTGCTGGAAAACAGAGCCCTAATCGGGCATTGTGCCTATGAGGTTTTCCAAGACCAGAAACACCAATTCTAGCTGCACTCCTAATGGGATTTCCCGCCTTCCACTATCTCTAAAGGAAATATTCCTTTGGCGTGGCTTCTTTCCAGTCAGCCTACTCTGGCACTTCATGATCAGTGTTCCCTTTATCAGGCACTCTCTGAAACTACAATTAGCGATGCATTCAGGACTTTCAATGTGGATGGAATATCAGACTTATTTCAAAAGGAAAGGAGAATTAATCCTAGCAGTCAGCAGTCTGTCTTGGGAGTTCATGAAAGCATCTCGGCAGAAAATGTTCCAGGAAGAGGGGCCGGGTGTGAATTACCAGATTAGAAGGATCTAGGTTCTCCTTATTCTCAGCCACAGCACCCGTAACAGGACATTCCACGTACTCATACGCACGATCTTGGTGGGAGGGCACAGAGTTCATTTTGTTCTCACAAGTTGGGTTAGATGGCTCTGTGCTCACGGGACAGCCTGAAATAAATCAAGTAAAAAAGTGTCACCACAAAGGCAGGACATCTGGCTCTCTCAATCCTGGCCCTAAAGAGCTGGATTTCTGACCAGTGATCACCATCAAAGGCAAAGCCAGGTTTCTATGGTTCCAAGCTGCCAAGAGCTAGGCTAGCTACCACTGTAATAGCCTATAGACCAGAAGGTTCTACAAATTTACTTTCCCCTTGAAAGAGAAATGGGTACCCATTCCCTTACTGTGTCATGCCCCCAGCAAAAAAAAACAAACAAATCTCAACATTTGCAAAAAAATGTATTGTGCATTCCATGGTTTTAGAGATGGGCTAGTAGGTACCTGTGTGGGTTCCCAGCAGCGAGCTGTCATGGAGGAACCTAAGCAGAGGCCCAGCCATGTTTTACCGGGTCTCCCTGACTTTCAATTCAGATTCCAGACAAGGCCCAGCCCTGATCAGGACACAGGACGCCAGGCTTTTACTGACGCCTTCTCTCAGGTACTGGAGACAGAAAATGGAAATGAGCAGAGGAGCCTTCAAAAAGGCTCCTGGAGAAAAGTCTGAATGCCCCTCTGCTTGTGCCTTGCTCCAGGACAGAAACAAGGCACAGAAAACTACCCCTTGATGGGGTTCTATTCCTCATCAATTGATAGCAAGCATTTAGCAAGAAAAGGCACATATTAAAGAAAATGTTCCATAGTCCAGGTAGGATCCAGATGCCACTTAAGAGGGAAGGTCTGAACCTACAAGAGCAGCAGCAGAAGGGGCAGCTGATGTCCAAGAATCCAGGTGCTACTGGAAGCAGGTGTGGAGATTGAGAAGCTGGTCTTACACTGCGGAGAGGGGGCAGGCACGGGGAGAGCCATGGCCCAGGAAGACAGCTGCCCAAGTAAGGGATCCTTGTGTTAGGCAGCAGCAGTAATACCAAGAATATGCTGGATGCCCTCCACACCAAAGACAAGTTTCCTTTCACTTCCTTTCCCATTTCTCCTCGCAGACCCTCATTCCCTAGGACCCTTTACAGCTGTCCGCTTGAGGGGTGAAGGGAGACTTGCTCTACCACCTTTCTGCTCCCATTCAGAGTGCCAATCTCTCCTGGGTCACTGATCCCAGCTGGGTGTGAGAAAATACTGATATATTTCCCATATAACCAGGAGCCCCTTTAGCCACCTACAAATATCCACATTCTTTACTTATGCAAACAAATCTGACTGACAACTCTTCTGGATACACAGTAAATGAAATAAAACCATATTCAGGGCTCTATGATCTACCCGGGGACACTCAAGAGTAGGAACACATCAGCTCTGTCCAACTGTCTCCATTCTTCCTGTACAGAGAAACCCTGGAAGAGCACTGGGTCTGTCCTTGTCCAAGGTCACAGAGTTTTTGCTGGCTTTGCCACTTATTAGATGTGTGGCTTTTAAGTTTCCTGAATAAAAAATATGGAGAAAACCTACCACACAGGATTACAAGGATGAGAATGTATACTCCATTAGGCAAAGGATTTTTTGTTCTATACGTTGCTCTTCTCTCAGCGAAAAAACAAAATCCACCAGTGCTTGGCACAGACTGGGCAGTGAGTAAAATCTTGCTGAATGACCAAGGGAATCAAAGAGTCCAATGCAAGGAAGTGTTTTTCAGGTCATACTTTTATATAAACAATCTAAAGCAAATGTGGACCATCCATTCTCACCTCTGCACCCAAGGAAAGAACAGCAAGGCCATAAGCAATGACTTACTTTTACAAAGATGAATAACGCAACAGATGTAAAGTTGCCTTGACAGATAAAGACAGATCTAGACCAAGGTTTCTCAACCTTAGCACTCTTGACATTTGGGGCCAGGAGATTTTTTGTGGCAGAGGTGTACTGTGCACTGCAGGATGTTTACCAGAACTCCTGGCTTCTACTCACTGGATGCAACACCTCCTCTCAGTTTTGACCAACAAACATGTTTCCAGACATTGCCAAATGTTATCCCCCTGGGTGGGGGAGAACGGGGGTGGCCACCCAGGTTGAGAAACGCTAACTGCAAACTTTGAGGGGTAAGGGTTAACGTGTGGAGCCATCACTCCACTCTCATGCACTATCTTAATTGTCACAATAGCCCTGTGAAATATTATTATATCCTCATCTTTCAGATGACAGGTTGCGACTTAGAAAAGTAACTTGTCTACAGTCACATACCTTGTAAGTAGCACCATAAGGACGGAACTCACTTTGCCCCACTAGCGTGTTATGCTGCCTCTTCCTCAAAATCCTTTTGAGAATTCTCTTTTGTTTTTATTTTCTAGACAAAGGGTCAATTACCTTTCATTTTCCCTTCATGCATGGGACATCCTGAAGGCGGGGATGCCCTCTGATGATCTGAAGCATCTGAGGTCTGAACTGCAACAGCAGGGGTAGATGCAGACAAACCCATGGTTGGAACCGCCGTGCTGACTGCAAACAATTCTAAACTCAAACGTGCCAAAGCAAAAAGACAGATTAATGCCCGATGCCTGGACTCCGACCGCTCCCTTGGTCTTCTTAATCTGCCCAACCCTTGTTCTTCCTCCTTGTCATTCTGATGTAAATCTACAGGGCAAGGTATCCACTTCGAGGGATACCTTTAATGTATTAACCCCTTTGGGAAATACTAGTGTGAAATGTACACCACGCCAACCTTTAGGGGCACGTTTCTAAGATGTGCGGATTTTGGGGCTGAGGTGAAGGGGGGTCCCTGAGAAACTACGTCACGGAGAGGGAGTGTAGATCTGGGTAACAGGGAGCCCTAAACGTGGTGACCCAGAGGGGAGTCTCAGACTAAACCCCCACACCCGGGCTTAGAAAAGGATTGGTAAACAGGACAGGGTACAGCGCAGAAAAGGGATTCGAGGAAGGAAAGAGGGAAGGAAAGGAACTCCGAGGGGGGAACGCGGCCAAAGTCGTCTTCATACGGCCCCTCCGCGTCCCACCTGCTCCAGTCCCGGGACCCCAAAACCCACCGGCCTCAGCCAGCCTGCTGCTCCGCACCTGACTCCTGTCCCGAGCCGCTCCGAGGAACCGGCCCCGCCTCTAACCGCCAGCCCGCGGCCGCCTTCTCCTCCTTCGGTCACCGCTATCGTCGCGGTCACCGCTGGCGCCCCAGCGCACCCCTACTTCCTTTTCCGAAGGCGGGACTTCCGGGCGCGCAGGAGGCGGGGCGCGGGCTGAAGAGGTAGGGCTTCCGTCGAGCACGAAGAAGCGGGTCCGCCCCCTCCCTCCTCGACCTATAAGTGCGAGCGCCGGTCCCCGACCCCGCCCCTCCCAACCAGCGCGGGCAGGGAGAGTTTAGGCTGAGCCAGAGACTTCCACAGAACGAGGCTCTCTACTATAGCTCCTTTAAGCCGCAGAAGGGTTGCTTTAGAGGTGTTAGTTTTAAGTTCCTATCTTTTAAATTGTATCTCATCAGTTGTAATTATAGTAATGACTCAAATAACATCAGCAGGTGTCCAGAACTGCGGCCAACTCTGGAGATCCCCAAATGAACAAATCAAGGTTCCGGCTCCCAAGGCCTTCTTAACTGGGTGTGTGGACTTGAAGGTCTGTATTTTCACTTATCTCTAACAGAAATTTAGTATTTTTTCCACCAGGAATGCAGGCAACAAATCCCAGTAGTGTCAGCAATATGTGGCACTAATAGAAACCACAGAGAAATTGTCACAAATGATGGTTGTTTCTGTCTTAAAATACTATTCATCACTACTTTGAAATTAAGATAATTTTATCTTGTTACTTAAAAGTGTTACTAAGAAGCATATGCCTTTCTGTATCACTGTGATGGAACTGTGAAGCATGCCCAGATGGCCCTTCAGGGCCCGGTGGGCCATCTCCAGGGTACTGGGGGCTCTTAGCAGCTGACACCGCTGGGCTGAGTCTCTCTCCAGGAATTGCCCTCTGCCAAAGAGAACTGCCTCAGGCAAAATCACATCCTCTCCTTGGGGACAGGCTGCTGCCTCCAAGTGGCCTCTGCAAGGGTACATAAACCCCAGGCTCTCGCCTCAAGGAGGTCACCTCAGAAGGGCCCTCCCAGTGTCAGTGGCTGAGGCTTCCATTGTGACTGCATCACAGTTCAACTTCTCCCTTTGCCCAGACCTCCCATCGCTCTCTCATTGCTGTTCAGGAGAGCACTCTGATGCGCATTGCTTAGAGTCTCAGCCATTTTAATAAGTTTAATTGTTGATTATTATTTAGATTTGGTGAAGTTGATCAGATCAGGAAACAGCTACCGTTGAATAAACAGTTTATTATACTCACAGATCCCAAGAGAGGGGTTATACATCACATGGTGGGATGCCACATGCAGAAGTGCTGGAGTCCTTCGTGAGCCAGGGGGTCAGGGGGAAGGAACAGGTGAGGTAGGCTCTGGAGCAGGTGTACAGGGGATAGTGGCTCAGAGTATGAGAGCCCAGCAAGGGAGGTGGTTGGTGAGCGTGGACCTAGCTGCTCAAGAAGGGGAACTGACCAGACTGGATCAAGACAGCATTTTAAAATCTGTTATATCAGTGTATATTTCCTGCGGAACCTGACCTTTAATGATCAAAACCTGTTTTTCTAAAATATGTGGATAACTTCTTTTTAATATAAATTATTTCTTTAGTGATTTCTTGTATTTTGTTTTATATACGTAAAAATATTATTCTGAGAAGATACTTACAGACTTCACCACAATCCACAGGGGCGTATGGCACCAGAAGGCCCAAAACCTCTGGTAATTGGAGAGACAGGCAAGCAAACAAATAACCGTATTGTTACATCTCAGTGTATGTATGTGCAGACTATTGGAGACAAAAGGGAAGAAGTGACTGTTTCGAGAGTCATGTGCCAAGAGTGGATGGGAAGGAAAGAAGTAACAAGGATGTTTATAAAGAAGGAGCTACCAAACAGGGCATTAAAGGAGACCTATAGGTGGGTAGGGAGACTGGGGGGACACTTTCAACCTCAATTTCCACTCTCCACAGGCAAAGACTTACTGCTCTTTACCTGTTTCTTCTACTTTTCCTTCCATGTTCCAAACAACATGCTAACACAAACACACGTGTCCCTCCCCTGTGCCAATAGTTACATGGTTTTGGATACATCACAGTTTAGTATTTACATTATCGGGACTGTTTGTTACGACCAAAGATGATTTTTTTTCTCGTACAACTTTTTCAATAAAATTTAATACTTGCCTTTTCCCCCTTTGTCTAGATTTTTAGGTTATCCCTAAGCTTCCTGTCTGCATTGTAAATCTCCTCCCAATGCATTTAAATACGTCAACTAATGTATATGTTTCCCTTTTTTCCCTTGAGCCCTCTCTCACAGATAAGCTCCTCACCTCTGCCACTGCCCAATTCTAAAATGTTTGGAAGTGATTTCTGCTAGTCATCTTCTTGGCACTTCCCTTCAGCCTTTTCCTGTCCTGTGTTGGATCTCTGGTTCTTGGATACCCTGTATTCTTCTTTGCATTGTTTTGGGAGCACATCAGTTTTTGAGGTCTTGAAAACCAGAAACCGTCTGTGGTTTACCCTCCCACGTGATTGGTAGTTTGGATATATAGTCCTAGGTTTAGAAACATTTCTCTCAGAATTATTAGGCAGTTGCTTCATTGTCTTTTAGTTTCTATTGATGTAGAAAAGTCAAGTGTCATTTCTTTTTTTCGCTCAACAATATTTTTAACTTCTCTTTCTTTTAGTGGCCTGAAAAGATGTGTGCTGATATAGACCTCTTTGCTTTCATTGGCTTGGTACCTGATGGGACCATTCATTCTGGAAACCCATAACCTTCACATTGGGGATATTTTCTTGTATTATTAATTTTTTTGATAACTTGCTCCACTCCCTCTTTCTTCATTGTCTCTTTTAAGGAACCTCTATTCCTCATATGTTGGATTCCTAGACTGACTCTCTAATTTTCTTATATATTATTCTATCGCTTTTTCATCTTGTTTTATTTTTTGTAAGATTTAAAAAATTTCCCAACCATTTTATTAGTTTATTTCTGTTATCATGTTTGAAATTTCCAGGATATGTGTGCATATATATTTGTATGTATGTTGTGTTTGTGTGTGTATGTGTACGTGTACAAGTGTGTGTGTGAGAGTATATGTGTGTATTGTGTATGTGTGTGTACATCTGCCTATACAAGACAGTGCATGTGGGTTTGCCAATCTGTGGTAATGTGATATGAACTCCTGCTGTCAGACTCAAGGGTTTAGCAGAGAAGAAAAATTGAAGGTCTTTTGTAATTACAAACTGAATTTATGACTGGTTCTTGTAAAATAAGTCTCCTTCCCAAACCTACAGTAGCGTATGTTTACAAAGTGCTGCTTTTGTACTTCTTAGAGCTCCCACAATTCCATGTCTTCTGCATGATTCTCCTTCCCCCCCCCATAATTCCCTGTTTCTTTTATAATTCCCCATCTCTCCCCAATTCTCCACTCTCTTTCACAATTCTTGGCTCTCTCATAATATTCCTCCCTTTACAATTCCCCAGTTTGTCCCACAATTCCCTTTCCAACAATTCTCTGTCCTTTCTCAGAATTCCCCATGTCTCCCACAATTTTTTATGATCTCCCACAATTCCCTGTCTCACACAGTTCTCTGTTGTTTCCCATGATTGTCTGTTTCTTCCATAACTCCCTGTCTTTCCCACAATTTTTGTGGCAGGGTTTTAAAAATATTTTTTAAATTGAGATATGATTGACATATAATTTTAGATTAGCTTTAGGTGTGCACCATAATGCTGGGATATATGTAAATATTGTGAAATGATCACCCCCAATAAGTCTAGTTAACATCCATCACTGCACAGTTAATACAATTTTTTTCTTCTGATAACTTTTAAGATCTGCTGTCTTAGCAACTTCAAATGTATAAGACAGTATTGTTAACAGTTGTCACCATGCTGTACATTGTATCCCCCGGACTTAATTTATTTTACACCTGGAAGTTTGTACCTTTTGACCACTTCCATCCATTTCACCCCATCCCCACTTCCAGCCTCTGGCAACCACCAATATGTTCTATCTGTGAGTTTGGTTTTTTAATTGTTGTTTTTTTGTTTGTTTTTAGATTCCACATATAAGTGAGATCATACAGCGTTTGTCTTTCTCTGTCTGACTTACTTCACTTAGCAAAATGGCCTCAAGGTCTATCCATGTCACAAATGGCAGGATTGCCTTCTTTAATATGGCTGAATAATATTAAATTGTGTGTGTGTATCACATTTTTTTATCCATTTGTCCATCAGTGGACACTTAGTTTACTTCTATGTTTTAGCTATTTTAAATAGTGCTGCAGTGAACATAGGGGTGCATGTATCTTTCTGAGTTAGTCATTTCCTTGGGATAAATACCCAGTGGAATTGCTGGATCATAGGGAAGTTCTATTTTTAATCTTTTGAGGAACCTCCATAGTTTTTCCATAGTGGCTACATCAATTTACATTCAAACCAACAGTTCATAAGGGTTCTCTTTTCTCCATATCCAACTTGTTATTTCTTGTCTTTTTGAGAGTAATCATTCTAACAGATGTGAAGTGAAGTCTCAGTTGGGTTGATTTGCATTTCCCTGATGATTAGTGATGTTCAGCACCTTTTTAAAAAAGATTTATTGATTGACGAGAGAGAGAGAGAGAGAGAGAGCAAGTGCACATGAGCGGAGGGGAGGGGCAGGGGGAGAGGGAAAGTATCCTTGAGCAGACTTCCTGCTGAGCGCAGGGCCTGATACAGGGCTGCATCCTAGGACCCTGAGATCATGACCTGAGTTGAAACGAAGAGTTGGATGCTCAACTGACTGAGCCACCCAGGTGTCCCTGTTCAGCACCTTTTTTTTTTTTTTAAGATTTTATTTATTCATTTGAGAGAGAGAGAGCGAGAGAGCGAGAGAATGAGCAGGGGGAGAGACAGAGGGAGAAGCAGGTTCCCCGCCGAGCCAGGAAACCGATGTGGGGCTCGATCCCAGGACGCTGGGATCATGACCTGAACTGAAGGCAGACGCTTAACCATCTGAGCCACCCAGGCGCCCCTGTTCAGCACCTTTTTGTGTACCTGTTTGCCATCTGTATGTCTTCTTTGAGAAAATGTCTGTTCAGTTCCTCTGCCCAGTTTCTCATTTTTTTTTTTTTGCTATTGAGTCATATGAGCTCTTTATAT